CGGAAGTGAATTATGTAAAAAAAAAAAAAAAAAAAAAAATGTTTCTAATAGGAATAATTCAAAATTCCGAATCTACTGTCCCTCAAACAAGTAATTTGTATAAATGGCCAATCGAGCAGCACTCCATACTTTCAGATCTCCCACTCCCTCTCATTGCTGGTTTCAGGGGGTAGAATTGCCGCCTCCGAGGTAACATGGTCCTCTGGTCAAAGCAGTTGAGTCAGTGTGGGCCTCATCACAGGCAGTGAGAGGTGTTTTGGTTTCATGTGTTAAGTATTTTAGTGCGGTATTTATACGAGTCCTGTTTGGTTGATCAGGTGAGGATAAGGTGTTTGAGGTTTTAATGATTAAAGTAGGTAATTAAGTAATGAATTTTATGCAGGAACTTCTTAGTCTGAATTTAAAACTGGGTAAATGTAATGTTTCATAATCAATGTGCTAAATGCTTAAATAAAAGAAAAAAAATAGGGCATAGATTGACTATATAAAACTAATTGAAGCTTGAATAAACTTTTTAAGCAGTTTTAAGATATTGCAAAAAAAAACTTGCATGTATGGCTTGCGCTTGTTAAGGTCGTCGCTAGGGAAACAAAGAAAATTGAAGTCTTGTGCCGTAACCATGGTTACGTCGTTCGCTTACTGTACTAGTCGCCATCCTTCGAATGCAGGGGGGGGGGGGGGTGACTGCATTTTCTACTTGTGCATAGTTTGTGGGAATACCTTTTACACTCTAAATGTAATGTTGCGTCGTTTTGACCTTCCTATGCCCAAGATTGATTTCTACCTTAGTGAAGCCCGACATGTAGAAGGGTCTTCTGTGAAAAAGGCCTCCCTGCATTAGACATTTTAAAGCTAATAGTATCTTTTGGCCTACCGATAATCTTAAGCGTTCCTCTGCTTAAGACTCCATAAATGTAGAGGTAATGGCAAGGTAATGAATTACCGAAGCCATTGCTTTAAAACCATTTACCTCGTAATGATTAATTACGTGCAAGATTTTAGACTATTTTTTTTTTTAATAGCCATGACGCTAGTAATCCTACTAGCGTTAATGACCGGGTTGTGCATCGCCCTCCCACACCAAGACTTCGATGCTGCAGAAATATTGCTAGATAGCTTCTCGGACAGCGAGGTTGGTTAAGCTTTCTTTGCTTTATTTTTGCTTTATATATTAGTTACTTTAACTAAAATTAAAGCTTATAAATTTGATTAACCAACTAGTTACTTGGTCTTGCAGCTAGACCAGCTCCTAGCAGAGAAGCTGGAGGAACTCCAAGTAGGCATTCTAGATTCCTTCAAAGAACACCTCCGAGCTCATGAAAATACACTCGCACAGCTGCATCGTCGCCGCCGAAGCTTGCCTGCACGTCCCACGATCCCGACAGACTACTGGCATGGTTATGTCTTTGGAACCTTATCGACAAGGGAAAGTAAGATTTTTTTTTTTTTTTTAACTAAAAGCATTTTTTTTCTTAAATTCACCCCCTAAATATGCTTTCCCCTTTAATAGAGACGGTAATTGACAGCGTGGCCGTTGAAACGGTGAAGAATATGAAGACCATCATGGATATTTATCCCATAAATCTCCCTAGTACGAAGGCCATATATAAGGTGGGTTAGTTTACTTTATATCCAAACTTAAGGATAAAAAAATATCTAAAAGGAAAAATAAATAACTGAACTTTCAGGATGGTCTTGGACACGGATATATCTATAAAAATGGCGAGATGAAGTTACTTTTGGTCCGTAACATGTGGACAAAGTCGATGTCTGGATGTCCATGCGCAAATGACCCAACTGACACGGTAAGTAGTGAATAACCTTTAATATATGCACTAGATATAGCAGGCCATAAGGCTACCTATTATTTAAATTTTTAATGAAATTTTCTTTTAAAGAAATGTGCGTGCTGTACGCAAGGTGGAAAACTGTGCTCGCCTAGTGTAGGTCTCCAGGGTAACATCTGTGTTGATGGCGATAGTGAGCTGGTACTAGAATGTACTCAGTCAGGTAGGTAGGTGAGGAGATAAGACTGAGGGAATTATGAGAATATACGGAGTAGATTCAGATTCTACATTGGGAAACCTTTGTTAATTTATTTGTACCGTTCGCAGGTATTCGACCTCTTACCCTCAATGCAGCAGTGGCCTTTGATTACCATGCTGAGGGGCTTTCGCACCCACAAAGCCACCGTGAAGTAATCATTGTTGCAGACAAAAAGACTGTCACCTTTTACAAACTGGTGGGTATAGACCATGAGTGCATAGTGTACTATAAATTGCACACTAAGCATTATAAAATAACTCTTATTAACAGGATGAACAAGGTCTGCAAGAGTTGCATACCCAAAAAGGCCACAGCCACATCCACCTCGGTGAGGAAGTAACTCACTTGGGCTTAGGAGAATTGTATGCAGAAGAGTTCGGGGCACTTGTGAAGAAGCGGTTTGCGTTTTTCTTTGGTGAAAAGGAGGAAGCTAAAGTTTACTTCCAAGTTGTTGTGAATGGTACCACCGATACCTTACAAACTGGGTTAGTAAATTTATTTCTATGAAATGGATGGAGATGGGTTTAAATTTCTTGAACCTTGAGATTTTCATTTTGTCTTTAACAGCCTGTTAAAACCTTGGGAAGAATATGGCTCTGAAATGAGAGTTTGGCAAAATGATGCACAAATTATGATGGGGGTCCTGAATGGAACTAACCTGCACATACACGAGTTGTTGGTGAGTTTACCCCACGTTGCATAAATTATTTTATTTTTTTTTTATCCCTGACAAAATGCTTAAATTTATCCCAACTTTCAGACTGATCGATGGGGGAGACAACGAATCTTTTTCGTTCAAGATGTGCAGTTTCCAAGTGATGTGATGTACTGGAAAATGTATTCATCAGGATTTGAAAAGTTTTTGATTGCCGTTACTCCTAGTTTAACGCGTGTTTTTAGTCTTCAACAAGGATTTTACAAATTCTTACAGGACTTGACACCTGGTGTTCTTGGAACTTTCAAAGATGTTGTACCCCTTCAGGTAAGTGACCCTTTCGGGTTGTAATTAAGCGACTCTATTGAACTTCCATGGCAACTGATAAGCGCTTCCTTGCAGATTCCATCGTGCAAGAATGACGTGGTTCTACTAACAGGTTCAGGAACCACTTTGGTTATATTTGTATGGAACAGTGTAGATGGGAAGTACTTCAAGGCAAGTATGATAAGAATTTATGGAAACCATAATTTTGCACTATAAGTTCATAACTCTAATTTAAAAACTGCCTTATTTTTAGGCCAATGAGACCACTATATCGGAAGATATCACTGGATGGGAACTAAGCTTTGGATCCGTGGGAGTAGGAAGTGCTGCTATTCCAACTGTACGTATAAACTACATAATTTTAATTTTATATTAATTCCCAAATTTCCTAAAATAAATTAAACCTTGCACCCATAGGTGGTTGCACAAGCGGCAACCAGTGTGGCCGCAATAAAGCTAACATCTAGCCTCCATGATATTATGGATCAAGGGGTACAAGAAAACGAAGAGTTGCAGAAAGAGAAGCTCTACATAGAAGTAAGCCATTCGATAATAAACCATGAATATATTTTTCCCGACTCCCCCTTCCAACACCTCATCCATTTTTCTTTTTCGTTTTTCAGAACGAATACACAAGACAGACCAGTGTTATGTCTCTTATGCAGAATAGAGTGGATAATGCAATAGACGTACATACTACAACCAAATTATCTGGAGACTACATAATTGACAGCGTCATTGTGGATGGGGTTGGTAAAATACAAGTCCTAAACGCTATTCAAGTTATAACTTTTTATAGACTTTAAACTTTTTTATTTTTCTTCCCTTCAGACTTTGAAGACAAATGTCTTTGATGCTGTTGACATGACCTTCCCAAACACAGACTTTGCTTCAGGTGTATCTTATTCCGACTACAAATCTCATACCGCCAACATCAGCGACTCTTTCACCTGGCTCAATAACCTGGATAAAACATTGAATCAGTACTCCTCAAGGCTGCAGGGCAAGTACTTTAAGGCCTATTACGTCTTGCAAATAAGCTTGCTATGCTATATGCAAGAGGCTAAATGTGTAATCATCTTACAGATGCTGTGAAGATTGCAGGAGGTAACCAGAAAATAACTGGAATGAAGACGGTTGTTGATGGGTTAACTGTAAGTAACCTTGCAACTACAGAGGTGTCGGTCCAAGAAGTGATGGACAAAAATGACCAAAGCTTCCCTCTAACCGATTACCTTGAAGGATTAATAAGGTTGGTTTAATTACTGCTTTAAACTAGTTGCTTTTTATTGACAAGAACACTCTTTTAATTTTACTTAACTTCAGTTTCAGTGATGCTCGCAAGATAACTGGCAAGAAGACCTATGTAAAAGGTCTTGATGTCGCAAGCCTTAATACACCCTCTCTGGATGACATTCCTGTTAGTGACATTGCGACCACAACTGGAAAATATTCCCTTGTGGGTACTACAGCATTCCCTACAATGAATGCAGAAAACGTTAACCTCCCTACCGGTGGTGTGGTTGGTGGTATTGATCTCTCCAATGCAGTTCTGTTAAGTGGACCCGCCAAATTGGGTGAGTAATTTATAAGTTTGGTGCTCTGCAAACTAGTGGTACTATTTAATTAAATCTAATGTCTTGCTAATCTTCCAGGATATCTTGCCTTTGACAAGAATGTGACTGTAACACAAGACCTAAATATAGGTAATAATGAAGTCGATGGAGTTGTAATCAACAACTTGTACAGAAATGCACTAACAAAAGCAGGTGGAGAAGTGAAGGGACCACTTACTTTCACTAATGATGTGGTTGCAAAATCTCTTTCTGCTTCCTTGCTGTCTGGTGTTCGCTCAACAGACTTCTTGACCTATACCGTCTTCAAGGACAAGGATACTCAGCTGACAGGCCGCATAAAGATGCCAACACTTACCGCCCAAGGCTTGCAAGTTAAAGGAAAAGTCAATGATTTACCCCTAAAAACGATGCTACTCTGAACTTGGGTACCAAAACCTTCAATCATCTGACTTGTGTAGATCTTAATGTTGATGATCTTCTAACTGTGGATGGTGTTCAATTTAATAAATTGGTTACACTTCACAGGCCCCAAACAATTACAGGCAACATTACCCTTGCCGAGTCGGTAAATATTCTGGGTAACCTTGATGTATCGTCTAGCCTTGTCAAAGGAATTGACTTTGACGAACTCAATAGTAATTTGACGGCTATCCTGAATACTAATAATCAATTTGATGTTATATTCAAAGGAAGTGTCTCCCTTCCAACAACGGTATACGATGGGACGCTCAGAGGCCTAAACCTGGTTGACCTTGCAGGGGATGTAATCTACACTTCTGATGCTTCTGCTCTATTAACTGGTGCAAAAACCTTTAATGGTGACCTTCAAACTTCTGAAGCTACATTAAAGAGCACATTTAATGGATTGAGTTTTGATGACTTTGTAACAGTTAATGATGCTAAGACCATAGCTGGAGTGAAGACTTTCAAGAAGCCGGTAACCTTCTCATCTACAGTAGATGTAACTGGGCTAGTTGATGGTGTGGACTTGAAGCAACTCTTTGACTCTGCATTGTACCTGGACAAGGCAGGACAAGTGGTAACAGGAAGGAAGACTTTCACTGGTACAGTATCCGCTGGAGAACTAGATGTTCAGGGCCGAGTCTCTGGTGTGGACTTCAACACTATTCTTGCCAAATCTGGAGACCAAGTCTTCACTGTGCCACAGAAATTGGCAGCCGCATCCTTTGGTGCTCTAGATGCTAACCAAATAGACATGTCAGATGGATTCACAATGAATGGTATCGATATTTCTGTGCTGGACAGCATTCGCATGAGCCGTAAGAATCCTACCCCCCACTCGGGTGTTCTAACTGTAAATGGAATGGTATCTGTCCTTGGCTCACTTGATGCAGTAAACATTGGCGGGCATAATGTTGCACAGTTGAAGAGCAACATCGTCACCGATGATGCAGACTCGATTATATCGTCAGATCTGAGCTTTGCAAGCTTAACTGTGAAGGACTCTGTCAGTACTGCTAACAAGGTTGGTGCTAATGGCCAGAATATAAGCAGAATCAACGAGAATGCAGTGTTCCTGGCAGGTAACAATGCCATGACAGGATCTGTTACCTGGGGTGACCTGGACCTACAAGGTGATGTTGCTGTTGGAGGACTTGTCAATGGGAAGGACCTGCAAGTGGTGCACAATGATGCTGTGTATACAGATGCAAGCTCTGTTCAAGTAACTGGTAAGTAATGAAACTAAAGTTATTAAGTTTTATAGTTTGTACAAATGTATGGAAGTTTTATACAGCATAACTTTTTTTTTTTCTTCCAGGTAAAAAGACCTTTGCAGAATTTTCTGTGAAAGGTAATATAAACGCCGAAACCACTAATGGAATAGACTTGAGTAAGAGATTGGTAACTCTTGACACAGACCAGGATATCGTGGTACCCTACGAGTTCTTCACTCTGCATGCAGAGAAGAACCTTAATCTTGGTGGAACATTTGATGCAGTAGATCTTGTAGCCTTGGACAGTACAGCTCTGAAAGAATTGCAGGATGAGACTAGTAAGTCTCACCTAGGGATTATCTTGCTCCCATTCAGATATTTTGTCCTTTATGAAATTTCCTATTAACATTTCTTCCCCTTTTTAGATAACATCTACCTTGAAAAAGTACAAGCAGGCACCATTAACATCCTAAGAAATCTAAATGCGGTGAATGTAAATGATAGGTTAAATGATGCAGTGAGGCTCCAAGCACAAGATGTTAAAATTTCTGGTAAAAAGACTTTCCATAAAGACACTACATTCAATAACTTGGATGTTACAACCCTAAATGGCGAAGACCTGACTTACTATTTGAGTCATGCTGTAAGAAAGAACCGCCCAATAAGTCTTGCATCAAATATTAAAGTAAACGGGTTAGTGAGTGCACCATCGGTCACTGCAAACTCTCTAACAATAGAGGTAAGTCTTTTAATAGATTGCTTTTAAAAATTAATATTTGAAAGCCCTAATATTACAACTCTACTCCCTAATTTCAGGGAACCGTGGATAATGTAGATTACAAGACCTTAATGAAAAATGTGGTTCTGCTGGATGATTCAAAGAGTCACGGTATAAAACTGGTAGGTCTCGTGAATTTAATTTTGTTTTTGTTTTTACTCTTAGATTAGCTTTTGAATTAAAAATAATTGTTATTTTAGGCATTCGAAGATGACGTGTCGGTAAAAGGTGCCCTTGGCGCTACAAGCCTTAATGGTTTCGACTTGGCAACCAACTACCTCACAACAAACACCATGCAGAGTCTTTCTCCAAATGTGGAATTCGAGAGCATAACCACTGCTAGTATTACAGTTGATGGATTCGTTAACTCAAAGAAACTGCCGGATGAAGTCGCAAATACACTAAATGTAAGAATCTGTAAATTAGAAGGTTAATTTGTATAAATCTTAATTAATAATAATAAATGTTAATTAATGGTAACATTCATACAGGTAAATGGCGGCCAGACTGTTACTGGTATGAAGAGCATATCTGGGATTGTCAATGTAGCAAATAATGTGGAAGTGACAGGTAATATCAACAATATAAAGATGGCTACCGAGGCAATATACCTAAAAGACGCATCTACAGTAAATGGTAAGGGAGACTAGTACTTTACATTTAAAGTTCACTTTAATCTTGGATATCGTGGAAGTCGGACTAAAGATGACCACCATAGCCATATGGTCCCATTAACTTTGTTGTTTTAACAGGACGCCTAAAGTTCTCTAATGGATTGCTTACATCATCTCTGACGAGCAGCACCAATATGATAAGCGATATTGATATGAGTGATCTCTCGACTAATGCATGGTATTACAATGAAAGTGCTACTATTTCAGCAAGCATGATATTTGATTCTTCAGTTACTATGAAGGTATGTATCTATACACTAGAGTACCTTAACTGTAGGACATGTACACCTTATTAACTCTAACTTTATCTCCAGGACTCGTTAACGGTTGTTGGCACCATTGATAAATTTAATATTGGACAAGTATACAATGATGCAAAACAAGCTCTGAACCAGTACTCTACTTACAATGAAGGAATTAAGGCAAGTTAATCCTTCCCTCCCTCTTAGTTTTATTAAAGCTTTTAAGTGTTTTAGCTTTTAGATCCCATTTTAATAAGGATAGCTATTTTGAGCTTTTCAGTTTGTCAGGTGTTTAGAAAAAAATCGGAATACAAATGCTTACAAGTAATTGTGCAAAATTTTCTTTTGTAGAGCGAATATGCTGTAAAGTGCCCTCTCATCCTGGAAGCTTACAAAGATACCCAGAAGGCCATATTTGATGCAGATTACTTCAGACTTGTACAAGAAATTGCTCTTGGGAAAGTGCATCATGCTTCTACAAGTTTCTGGGTATGATTTCGCTATATAGAAAAGCACTGGGCCTCTTTAGTTGGTAACTTCCCTTACTAACTGCCTGAACTTCTTCCAGGCTTCAGGCACTACTTACATCATCATAAGCTGGAAAGATGAATGCAGCTCAACACTGTACAGGTTTGAGTCTCCAGGAAAACTTGTGCACGTGCAAACACTTGCAGTGTCAGGCCATGGTAAAGACTGGTTGGCAATTGAGCAAGGTCAAGAGGTATGAAGAACTTTTAAAAAAAATTCTAGTTCCACTTTCTCTAATGGACAGGAATTTTAAATCTTTTATTTTTCAGATCTTCTTGGTGATGGCGGCATCAAGTGAAGGGAATGCCTGTACCAAACAGAATAGTGTAGTCTGGAAAATGTCAAATGGTGCACTTTCGGTGAGCACTATCTCAAGTAGTTTCGCATAACTTGAATAACATTTCTAACTTTCTAGCTATAATTACTTTTATTCCTCCAGGTATACCAAGACCTGCTTCCTGGGACAAAAGTTTCGGCAAACCATGGAGTTGTATATATAACTGCTCCAAGTGCTACCCATAGCTATATCTTTGATACTAAAACTCTGCTCTTCAATTTCGTTAATACTGCTACTACTGAAATGGGTAAACAAAAAAAATTAGCCTTCAAATGTTTTTTTAAACTACTGGTAGTTGTATTAAAAATCCATTTTTCCGTTTTTAAAACATAACTTAACCCACTAATTCTTGCAGATTCTATTTTGACCTCCAAAAGTGGACACAGTGTAGCTTCGATAAAATTGCAAGGAAGTCTAGTTTTATTTGTTGATGGACAACAGCTATCCTCGCAACTCTCAAAATTACAAGTTGATGACTCGGTGTTATTTGAGCAGCAAGGCAAAATATTATTGCTGGCGGCAGTGACCAGGAACCCTCTCTCTGGCATAGAATATAGCCTAGATGTGAGTATGCACTCTTCCCCCTTGCATATTTCCAATGTTGTAACCTTTACATGTATTTAACCTGATCTTCCCTTTCAGCTCTACGGCATAGATCCAACTGAGAATACTCTAAATTGGTTGGATTCAAAACCACTACTTGCAGCTGCTACGTTAACTTCCTTCTACAGTGGGAATGCAATTACTGGAAAAACAATAGCTGTGGTTATGCAAGAAAACTATTACTGCCCCACTGTTTATACAGTACTTGGTAAGGCTTTAATGCATGGGACATTGTTAATTTATAAACAAACATGTACTGACAATTATTCTTCATTTCAGGCTCCGAGTTGAGATTCTTCTCTGATCTTGCTACTCCAAAAGTGAACTGGGCTATATACATCAGCATACCCAATGAGGCCTTCTCAGAAGTCAAAGATCACTATCTTCTGGTTGGCAAAGGTGATTCTTCGAAGCTTCTGTACCTTGAAATGCGTGGCTTAACACATGAAGCCTTGGACCGCACATGTCATGTAGATGATTTCAAATATCCAGAATTGATACCGCGAGTGTAATAAAAATTTTAAAAATTTTATTAAACCATTAAGTATAATAGGGCTTTAATATTTCCTTTAAAATAGTGGTATTTGAGTATTCACTACAATGAATTGTATCTAAGGGGATGCATAATGATTGTTAATACAGCAATCCTATACCTTTACAACTCAAATTTAATAATCGGATAACTTTGCCTTTTAATTTAACAATTAAAGCCTTTAATGAAGGAAGGATTAAATTTTATACTTTTAATTTGTACAACAATAACTGATTCTTTAGAGGATTAATTGCAATTAAAATGCATCTGATCGTGCTGCAAAAGCTTTTTAAAATGAATACTGTTAAAACCACCAAATTGAAAGTTAGCCAGTAGCCAAGCAAGAGCTTTATCCACTACCTAAACTGTGAATACAGTGGGAAGAAATTAACAAGCCATTTGGCTTGTCTAAAGCCTCTATACAATGCTTCTAATGCATATAAACCCCAGCAATGCTTCGATAGGAAAGTCCCTTCCATGCATCGTTATAAATGAAGCTTTTAGTGTCTTGCTTAGCTACACTTGAATAGCCTCCCTTGCACACATCCCTGCCTTCCTCGAGTTGTACTACTCTCCTCCATGGGTAAATGTCCTGTGACATGGATTATGTGTTGCAAACCACTTAAACTAAAACCTTAAATATTCGCAATGGCACACTTTACCAAGTGATTAATTTTCTAATCGACAACTGGACGAAATAGCATGTACAGTAGTCTTGGCAACATTATTGCTGCATGTGTAGAAAGGTGTAATGCAGCCTCAACACCATGGGTGTTGCCATTTCGATAAAAAAAAAAAAAAAATACAGTACATAACATTTGAAGGATATCCCATTACAAAGTCGACTAACTTCCCTAATTTTTTTACTTTTAAAAATGACGTATCAATTGCTTTGCTTGCTTTCCAAAGGTTAACCCCCAATCCCTTGCCCATTGTTGTCGGGGGGGGGGGGGGCTTCTGAGACTGTTAATGATCTGACTTACAAGATGGGAGCAATCTATAGCACGATCAAATTTAACTGATCATTCTGGCAACCCCATTTCTGCAGAACCTCATCCAACCCTTAATACCTGTACTGGAACTAACTCTCCCCAGCAAACTGCCCAGTCGATACCAAAGATTGGTCAGACTGTGGAGAAGACTTATTAGGATGCCTCAAAGACCAAGATGTGAAATCAGTACATTGCTACACCATTCCTAAAGGTCAACGAAAGAATCCGACCAACATTGCCAATACCTTCTGTACACATGACCTTCCCTTACGTATCTACATCGGTGGACAATACCTCCGTTCGACCATACCAACCCCCTCCCCGTCAATTTCAAAACTGTTGGTGCTTTGGACATCCTGCCAAACATTGCCGTTCCACAGACCGATGACCCATGTGCGCCCAACCTGGTCATAACCGAACATGTGCTAAATGTGGCAGCCCCCATAATGTATTTTATAGCTGTCCCACTTACAAGTTTGAATCTGAGGTAGCAACTGATACAAAAATGGTCTCCCTTTACGTGAAGCCAGACAGGAAGCACTTCGACAAGGTTTCTCTCATACTCCATACTCTTGTAACCTCATTCGCTCAGTCCCTCCCCCTCCACCCCAAAATGTCCCTATTTCCACTTCTACATTCTACATCCCTCAGACCAATTCTACATCCCTCAGACCAATTCCTTTGCCACTCTAAACCGACACCCCAATCTCAACTACAGCCCCAACACCAAGACCTCTCCCTCCCCGCACTACCCGCAGTAGACAGACTAAACGTTCTAACCCTTCTTCCCCTACAGCACACTCACCTCCACCTACCTTTACCTTTATTCCTGAGACACCAGTCTCCTCTTCCTCCCCCCCCTCATAAGAAAACCTTTATCCCACAAAACACTCCAACCAACTCCAGTGTAGAAACAATGTATGACATTCAAAGCTATATGCTTGAAACACAAGATCCTTCCACACTTGAAGTGGTTGCCGATATTCATACCCCTCCTACTCCCTCTCAACACAACCTAACCCCCTCAATTCCGTCCACCTCCGATATCCATCCTTCCAATATCCACCCTCCTACCACTAATACTCCCCCTACATCTACTCCCAACACAACCCACCCCCTTCAACCCCAACTATAGGCACATTCTCCCTCCCTCCATCCCCTCTATCTTTTGCAGTCCCCCTCCCGGATACACACGAGAATCACTCATGTCACAACAATGCCCTTCCCCAAATTCCCTACCTCCTAATACCCCTCCTTCACACCCCCTACCTCCTCCTCCCCCAGATTCCCCAATACGTACCATATGCGATATCACTCCTAAGCTATAGCTCTCCTATATTGGAATATTCGCGGTTACCGTTCTCATAGACCAGACCTACGTCATATCCTTGCTTCTTATAATCCATCTATTATCTGCCTCCAAAAGACTTTCCTCACACACCCTCCTATTCCAATTCCCAATTACCATTTTATATCTTCCCCCCACACCCTTTATGTCTCGTCTATACTTATCCATCATAATACACCTTATGTCATACCTCCCATACAAACTACTGTCCTGTGCACAGCTATTCGCATCTTTCTTCGCCGCTGGATCACAGTGATTTCAGTCTACTTCTCCCCATCCCATCCCATTGACTTTGCTGCCTTTGAAACTCTAATTTCCCAACTCCAACCACCTTTCCTCATAGTTGGTGATTTCAACTGCCGCCACACTCTGTGGGGTGACTCTACCACCAACTCTCGAGGCCGATCTCTAGAACGCTTCCTCTTCACAAATAACCTAATTATTCTTAATTCAGATCGCCCCACACACTTTGACATGCACACACAATCCTTTTCATGCTTTGACCTCTCCCTATGCTCTCCTACTCTACATTTAGATTTCCATTGGTCAGTTCTAGACCACTTAACCTATAGTGACCACTTCCCAGTACTCTTTTCTTCTACTTCATATGTACCACTTCCTAATCCTCCACGCTGGTGCTTCGATAGAGCTGACTGGCATACTTTCACTTCACTCTCTACTATACCTATCCCTCCATCCCCCTTACCGTCCATTTCAGATATGCTACAATGTTTTACAACCACGAGCTCAAGACCTTGTACCTCTAAATGTGTTCCATGGTGGAATTCTGATTGCACCAAAGCGCTTCGCTTAAAACGAGCAGCCTGGAACGGCTATCGCTACAAACGAGGCACCCCTCACCAGCTATAATACATCCAAATCTTTCCTCATCCTTTTCTCTCACTCACTTACGGTCCCCAAACCCCCACTATTCTTATATAACGCTCCACTCCAATACCGTTCTTCTGGCAAATTCCTAGGCGTTATATTTGATTCCAAATTGTCCTGACGAGACCATATCTTGTACATCAAAGAAAAAGCTCAACACCGCCTCCGAATCTTACAAACTCTTTCACACATCTCCTGGGGCTCAGATCGCAAAACTCTCTTCCATCTTCATGTTACCTTGATTCTCTCCACTCTAGATTATGGATGCCAAATCTTCTCCTCTGCCTCAACCTCTCTTCTTGCTCACCTTGATACAATCTACCACAGCGGTCTCCGCTTAGCCCTAGGTGCCTTCTGCTCCTCTCCAGTTGAGAGCCTATATACTGAATCTGGCATGCCGTCCCTTTCTCGACGTCGAGCCCTTCTCTCTCTCCGATGCTATGCTCAATTTCACCAATATTCCCTTACCAAACTAACTATTCCACAAAGGTATGAAACCTTTACTTCTTCTCCATGTTTACCAACTCCTCTCCCCGTACGCATGGATACCCTCCTCTCCCATCCTTCTCACTCATTTCCTTGACCATATCTCCATTCATTCCTCCAGCATTCATGTTTACACTGACGATTCCAAATCCATCTCAGGAGCTGGATTCGCAGTAACATTCCCAAATTGCACTTTAAAATACACCCTCCCTCCTAAATCTAGTCTCCTTACTACAGAACTATATGCACTCCTTTTTGCCTTAAGACGCATATACTCATCCCCTCTTCCTCTTTTACTATTTTTACTGACTCCCGTAACTCCTTAACCCTCATAAAGTCTATGCACTCGACCAATCCTCTGTAAGATCCAGAACTGGTTCTTCTATCTATCCACACGTCACAAATCTGTCAGATTTTGCTGGGTACCCAGCCATGTTGGAATCCCTGGCAATGAACAGGCACTCTTGCACGCTATGCCGCAATGTCCACATCACCTTAACTACGCTTCTCACATATTCCAGCTACGGATTATTACCACCACTTTAAAACCTTCTTGTATACCCAATGGCAATCTTTTTGGTCAAGAACACAATAAATTACATACTGTAAAACCATCAATCTCCTCTTTGTCAGCTCCATTTCACAAAAACAGACGTTGGGAGACGGCCCTCGCGCGCTTAGGTATTGGCCACACACGCCTATCTATGTCACGCTCAGACCCGTCCCTATGTCCTCTGTGTGGAACTGAAAGAGGGACGTTACATATTCTCTTGTCCTGTCCACGCTTTAATACAGCATGTACCACTGCTTTTCCACACCTATCCTCCCTTCACCGACCTTATTTTTTAACCATTAACCATTAACCATTCCAATGGTTAAAAAACAAAATGCGTAGACCTCCAAGGTTAGATAGCACTATTGAAAAGTATATTAAAGGACAGGTAAAGGGTGATAGTTGCTATGCGTCAACTATGTAGAGTGATCTTGAAAGGTTAAAGATGGGTAAAGGAGTTGTGTGAATGGGCTATGGTGGGTCTAGGTAAGGGACTTACATAAGGGTTTCACATGTGTAACCCTTATGATAGAGGGGATGAATGGAGGGGGAATGTACGTGTAGTTGAGAGGAGTGGGTTGTGTTGGGTGAAAGTAAGAGGATGGATGTAGGGGGAATGAGTAGGAGGGGGATGCATATCGGCAGTCACTTCGAGTGTGGAGGGAGCATGAGCTGTGGAATTTTGTCTTAAGCATATAGCTTTGAATATCTAACAGTTTCTGCAGTAGAGTTGTTTGGAAAGAGTTGTGAATCAAAGGTTTTCTTATGAGATGGGGGTGGGGGAGACTGGTCTCTGAGGAGTAAAGATAAAGGTAGGTGGAGGTGAGTGTGCTGTAGGGGAAGAAGGGGTGGAACGTTTAGTCTGTCTACTGCGGGTAGTGCGGGGAGGGAGAAGGGATGTAGTTGAGATGAAACCTGTGGTTGAGATTAGGCTGTCTGGATTTAGAATGACAAAGGAATTTGACTGGGGGACGTAGAATGTAGAAGTGGAAGTGGGGAAGTAAGTAGGTATAGGGGAGGGAGTAATGGTTAATGGTTAGTTAAAAGCGAAATTAATGTGCTAGACATCTAAGCTCATATAACACTATAGGAAGGTATAGGAAAGGGTGATGTCAGGTGATAGTTGCTATGCGTCAACTATCTAAAGTAACGTTGAAAGGTTGAAAGGTTGAAGATGGGTAAGGGGGTTGATGAGGGAAAGGGTTATGGTGGTTTAGGTAAGGGAATTAGATCAAGTGAAGGATATTTATGCATCTGAGGAAGGAGAACAGGTTGTCAAGGCTGAAACTGGGATTCTGTAAGGATGTCTGATATGTTGGGAGGTCGGTGAAGGGAGGATAGGTGTGGAAGAGCATAGGTACGTGCTGTATTAAAGCATGGACAGGACAACAGAATGTGTGGAACTGAAAGAGGGACAGGTCTGGTTTGTGAGAACGGAAACCGCGAATATTCCAATGTAGGAGAGCTATATCTTATTTATTTTATGAGTTAAAGCGTCGGTACGTGTTGGGGACTCTGGGGGGGGGGGGAAGGAGCTAGGGGGTGTAAAGGAGGGGTACCAGGAGGTAGGGAATCTGGGAAAGGGCATTGTTGTAACATGAATGATTCCGGGAGGGAGTGGAAAGGATAGAGGGGATGGAAGGAGGGAGAATGTGCGTATAGTAGTGGGTTGTGCTGGGAGGGAGTAGGAGGAAGTGGTGTGGGGGGAATATTAATGGTAGGAGGATGGATTTCGGAAGGATGGATAGTTGTAGTTGAAGGGAATGTGTTGTCTTGGGAGGGATTAAGAGGAAGGGGTGTAGGGGTGCTATGAGTAAGAGGGGGATGGATATCAGGATGGATAGATATCGGTGGTGGACGGAATTGAGGGGGTTAGGTTGTGTTGAGAGGGAGGAGGAGGAAGGGGTAGAGGGAGAATATGAGTAGGAGGGGTATGAATATCGGCAACCACTTCAAGTGTGGAGGGAGCATGAGTTATGGGATCGTGTGTCAAGCATATAGCTTTGAATGTCTTCCATAGTTTCTGCAGTGGAGTTGGTTGGAGAGTTTTTTGGGATAAAGGTTTTCTTATGAGGGGGGGAAGAGGAGACTGGTGTCTGAGGCATAAAGGTAAAGTTAGGTGGAGGTGAGTGTGCTGTAGGGGAAGAAGGGTTAGAATATTTAGTCTGTTGGAGCTGTGGTTGAGATTGAGGTGTCTGGGTTTAGAGTGGCAAAAGAATTGGTCTAAGGGAGGCAGAATGTAGAAGTGGAAGTGAGGACATCTTGGGGTGGAGGGGGAGGGGCAGTGCGAGCGATGTTACTAGAGTATGGAGTATGAGAGAAACCTTGTCGAAGTGCTTCCTGTCTGCTTTCACGTTAAGCGAGACCATTTTTGTACCCGAGAGTTGCTACCTCAGATTCAAACTTATAAGTGGGACAGCTTCTATAAATACATCACAGGGGGCGCCGCAGTTAGCACATGTTCGTGTTCGTGTTTATGCTAAGCAGTTTGATCGGTTATGACCAGGTTGGGCGCACATGGGGCATGGGGCATCGGTCTGTGGAATGGCAGTATTTGGCAGGATGTCCAAAGTGCCAACAGCTTTGAAATTGATGGGGAGGGGGTTGGTATGGTCGAACAGGGAGGGATTGTCCACCGATGTAGATACGTAAGGGAAGGTCATGCGTACGGAAAGTAATTTTGGCAATGTTGATCGGATTCTTTTGTTGACCTCTAGTAGGAATGGTGTAACAATGTACTGATTTCACATCTTGGTCTTTGAGGCATCCTAATAAGTCTTCTCCACAGTCTGACCAATCTTTGGTATCGACTGGTCAGTTTGCTGGGGGGGGGGGGGGAGAGTTCCGGTACAAGTATTAAGGGTTGGATGAAGTTCTGCAGAAATGGTGTTGCCAGAATAATCAGTTAAATTTGATCGTACTATAGCTTGTTTGATCTGACTATTACGAGATGAGAACAGTCTGGTATAGAAAGGGACTGCCCACTTGTTTTTGGAGGCATTGTTGGAAGAGAAGAGTATTGCCGGAGTAAGGAGCTGTAGAAGGGATAAAAAAATCTGTTCCATTTAGCTGGGCTAAGCAGTATTTAAGATATTTGTAGGGTTGGTGGTGGTGGATGGTCGGGGACATGTGGAAGAGGGAGTATTCCGGAGTGATGTAGAAGAAGGTTGCGGGGGTAGAGTTGCTGAATTTGAGGAAGTTGAGAGGGTAGGAAGGTCTTGTGGAGATTGAAACTGCTTGGGTTGGTAATGCACTAGTAGGCATTGAGGAGTGGGTAGTAGTTTGTGTTCAGTGTCATGATCATAGGAGAGCCTGGGGTTGGGGAGCCGGTGGGGCTATTTGATGAAGGGCAAGCCTCATTGCTCCTATTAAGTGTATTACATCTTTATTACTGGCCATGGGAAGCCTTTATTATGCAAGGGAAATAAGCAGTCCACCCCCCCTCCCCAGTGTGCTGTATGGGGGTGAGGGTTGGACAACTAAATCAGGGGAGTACCTTGCCCATGGTTCCCCACAGGCCGTTCAGGACTGGCACAAGGTCAGCCTTTCATCCTTTCAGCACAGCTTTTACACCTTAAGAAGTAGGTAGAAGGGGATGGAGATGGGACGGAAAACAAAGCTGGAAGGGGTAAAAGACGAATTAGTGGAGTCGAGGGCTGTGACAAGGTAGGCGGATTCCCAGCATTGGGTCCCAATTCGTCTCCTATGCCTCCCCCTATTCCGCGACAACGGGCAAGGGACTGGAGAGTGGGAGGTATTATTGCCCATATTGCCGAAATGTGGTAGGTGGTATTGGAGAAAAGGATAGCAAGATGGGGGATTTAAATGAAGTTTAGGATGGAATTGAAGCCGAGTGTTCGGAGAGGAAGGCTTACTAGGTTACACACTATTTGGACTAGACTTGTGTAAAGTGAATTTGTGGTCGAGAAACTCACGATTTAGATAAGTGGAGCTATTTTATGAAGGAGCATGCCTCAATGCCCTCATTAAAATGATACGAAGGGTACAAAGTCCTTACTACTGGCCTTGGTAACCCTTGATTAGGTAGTAATAGTCCACCCCAGCCCCCCCAGAGGGGAAAAGTTAGATATCAAACAGGAATACTGTGCCCATGCATCGCCAATCCTTTCATGACTGGCCATAATACATCCAAAATACATCCTCCAAACAAAGGAAAATTTGTCCTAGACAGTACCTGCAAGAATTAAAAGACTAAAGTCCTTTGAAAGTTTGCAGCTCCATCTCTGATCAAAACATGTAATCACTGTAGTAAAGGAGTGGATTCCTGAATGGAGGGGAGGGAGGCAGAGTCGTGTTGTATATCTTGGATTCAAACTTATTCGAAACAATGTAATTTATCCCTAAGAGTCAATTTCTAGGCAATGAACAAAGCCATAGGACTTTAGTCCCAGATTAAAATTCAAGTTTAAAGTTCTAGACTTGAAATATGATATGGATTTACTGCCTAAAAATTCTGTAATATGTTCAGGCCTACTTGCAGACATTCCATGAACTTTCTCCAGCCTTTTTGAAATGTTCAAAATTTGACAGTCTGCATGGTTAGGAAAAAATGGAGTTCTAATCTTTACCATTTCATAAAGTTAAACATTCAAAGGCAAGTGGATTATCAAGTGGATTAAAGCATCATCAACTGTCAGTTATATGATACCATCTTAACATTCTGTTGCCTTAAATGCGCCTATCCTAGGCAATTAAGGCCTTAAACTTCCAATATATATATAAACTTTCCTAAGCCACATTTGAAGAGTTCAAGGGTGGGGGGGGGAAGCAATAAAGGTAATTGAAAGTTAAAAAGGCCATCACATCCTTTGACAAAGAAATGGGGCCCCTTCCTGGGGTATTTAATAATCCTGGAAGGTTACCATTCGAGAATGCCGCACACCAAGTGCCAGCTATTCCACCCCCCCCCACCACCACTTTAGTAAACTTACTATTAAAGTGCTCTAGACTATAGCTTGTAGATTAATACGAATCTCTAAAACGGTCTAAAAGTTGGACAACCTAGCCTTTTCAGCATGGCTCAGGATGGAGAAAAGAAACATGCAAAGTAGTTTAAACGAAGGCAGAGGTACAAGGCGCGGTTATCAAGGAGCATTTCTTTTAAGCCTGCCCTATAAAAAACTAGTGAAGAATTGCAAAAGCAGAATTTTATGCCATTTCTGTAAATGGCATTGTATGCATTATTTCTATAGTAAATATTTAGCAGTGGTGTTTGAATTTCTCTTCCCTTTGGTTTACAGTTGCAAAAAAAAAAAAAAAATCCAAAATACTGAAGACAGGCAATATTTCTTTACTTGCCATGTGAAACCCTAATTTGGCCAAGTTTCCATAGTTCCCGTAAATGGGACAAATACCATGTGGTGCTCCATAACAATGTCAGGTGTCAAGGCATTTAACAAGGTTTGGTTAACAATTTATTAAAAAACTAAAATCTGATCATATCACACCGGGACTATTGGCATCAATTCAGGATACTTGAAGGCTGCTGGGTTGCACTCTATGTATCCAGCTTCATGAGTTAGTCCATTCATCTTTAGCTCCAGCAACTTTACTCCATTTCCTTGTCCAATTAACAGAGCATGCTTAGAGATTTCTGGGAAAGTAGCATCAGGCACACTGAAGTACTCCACCCACCAAGTTAATGGTGTATTCATTTCCACAAATGGCTTGAATTTCATTCCTGAAAATTTACAAGAGGATTAGGATTATTTTTATACACTCCAAATTTTAGGACCAAAAACTTAACATCTACATACCATGCAATGTGTAAACTTCTGGGCACCAGTTCTCTTGTACAGCTACAAGTACAGTAGCTCCTGTTGCTGCATTCCCAGCAAAGAAGCTGGTCAGCTTAGCAGGTTCATTCAGAGGCTTAGAATCAAGCCAAGAGAAGCCACTAACAGGGTCAAGCAAATAAAGCTGAGGAGTAAGTACCAAGATTAGGCTTACAGCATTTCCAGCATTTCCTGAGGGATTAGAATTAAAGCCATTCCTAGTCTTACCTCAAGGTTGTGTACTACACCAGATACAAGTTCTCGTGTAACTGAACACATCAGGAACACTTTTCCATATTGTTGAACCAAGACTGCATCATCCATTTTATGGACTTCCATTAGCCCGAGCTGGACATTATTCACCCATGGTATCACAATTCCATTCTCGTATGCTTCAACAACTATAGTATTTCCACTCCTATCAATCAAAACTGCCGTTTCGTCTGTAAGGGTAGAGACATTAAGTGTAATATAAAAGGCTATAAATCTATAATATTTTTAGATTATAGAATTTTACTTACCAATAGCAGGTAAATTTTTCACCAATTCGAACTCGTTTGTAGAGCTGCTAAAGCTGTATAAGTGTCTAACATTGCCCATAGTAATAGCTATTCCTACTGTTCCAGTTTCTTGAATGAAAGTCTTTTCAACCCTTTCTCCAGCAACAAGCTCTTGGTGCACCTTAAAAAAAAAAAAAAAACTCAATGTAGGTTCATGCAACAAGCAATTGAAATGCAGCAATTCCAATTATATCATACTTACAGTAAGTGCATCATTTTCTAGCTTTAAGGATACACTATTAGTCCTGCTGCAGCTATTGTCTGCCGACGATGCAGCACCAATGAAGTAGTTCTGTAAAACATTCGAGACATGTACAAATTGCTTCATAGAGTGCATATCGTGGTGGACGCTAAATTTCATTAGCTCATTCCACTTACATCTCCCTGATGTTCGAAGTGTATCCAGTCTTTACCAGATCCAAAATTGGAGTATAGTGTTGTTGTAGGGACAAATGAAGTACCATATTTGTCCATTGTCACATCACAACTTTTCTCCCAGCTCATAACAATGTAAGAGCTGTTATCAACCTAAATGGAAAGATTTGTTAGGTCATGCAATTAAATTTTATAGATCAGCTCTGACACCTCATACTTTTTCATGTGGCAAAGAGGGAAACTTACTCTGGCAGATGCAGAAGACTTGGGTTTTCCACCAAACTGAGCTTCATTAACCAAATGGAAATAGTCTGCATCAAATATGGCCTTTTGAGTATCTTTATAGGCTTCTTCAATAAGGGGGCACTTGTTGATGTACAAGTTCTGTAAAGATTATAATTAGTGATCCCTGCTAACAAGTGCTATATTTTGAACAAGCTGAAGTGCATTACTTACCTTGATGCCTTCGTTGTAGGTCGAGTAGGTATTTAGTGCATTTTCAGCATCTCCATACACTCCACTTACGAGCATGCCATCCACCGTGTGGTTAGTCAGGAGAGTCTCCTAGCAATAGGATCAGGATGTTAAGTTACCAAGCATAACTCCAAGCATAACTCCCATATAAATTTATAAAGTTAATATAATTCTTACTTTCATCACAACTGGATCCATAAAGTTAAGGCTAGCAGTGATTATAGCCGCTTCATTGTAATACCAAGCATTATTTGCCAAGTCTACCACATCTATATCTCCAATCTCACCACTGGTGCTAGTTAAACTTTTCACAGTCAGGTCAGAAGAGAAGTGAAGACTACCTGAAATGGAGTAGTTTAGGTAATTTTTTTTTTCCTCCCATGACAGGTGGCAACTGATCTCTTAATTAAATACATACCACTTATTGTTGGAGCTTCTGTCAGATATACGACTTCTGATGAAAAGTCTACCAAGGTATCGTCTCCTGTTAGGCCTGTTACTTCTACATCATTTGATACAATTGTCACACCATTTATAGTTTTCATTCCAGTTATAGTTTGTCCTCCTTGTATCTAATTTTAGAGATATTAGTGTATCAGTAATATGAAATTATAAATTAATGTATAATAAATTTATATACACAATTTTAAACCAATACATCTCGTGGTCATAATACACTTACCTTCAGAGTATTTGCAAATTCTGCAGGAAGGTTAACGTTATTAACAGAACCCTGTACCGCCACATTAGCAGATGCATGAACATTATCAAAGTCCACATTCGTTATAAAGGTTTGTGGTGTATTTGTGGTTAGGTAATGAGTATCCATATCCAGATCATTTAATCTGATGGTAGCAAGGTTACCCTTCACCAATACATCATTTGTGAATTGCTGAAGGGAGAAAGTAGTTTTAGTATACTGAAAAGCATTTTTTTTTATTACCATCTCTTGCATTAAGCATATCCTACTTACCAAATTTGAAGTTGAAGACTGCGTGCCATCAAGGAGAACTGCTCTAGTCATCAAATCCTTGTAATCGATTCCATCTACTGTACCCTTAAAATTGAAAAAGGGATTAATAATTTCCCCACTATCATACCCATTATGCATAGTCCAAAAGTAAAATTCGATTCATACCTGTATGTTGAGGGAGTCTACAGTTATTGAAGGCGCAGACACTAACCCATTCACCTTCAATTTTTTGTTCAGGTTAATTGGGACATTCTTTCGTACAGCATGGTTCAAGTAAGTATTGAAGTTAACGTTGTTCAAGTTTGTGGTGAAGATATTCTTGAAGGCAACATCCTTAACGAAGTTCTTAGTACCTTTTATGGTTATATCTTTACCAGTTAAGCGTACTGCATCTTGAAGTCTTGCATTTACATCAATACCTCCAAGTTTCCCGTTGACTTGGAAATCGCCAATGGTTACTTTTCCATTGAAGACCAAGTTTTCTGAAAAATATTACCATTAATATAAAGTTTACCCATCAAGACTAACCATTAAGACTAGCATTACTTTACCGAAATGCTCACCAATGGTATCCATGCTTTGCTTGAGGGCTCTTGAGTCCAGCTTTACTAGGTCAACCCCATCAAAAGTACCATCGAGTGTCATACTTTTTTCTGCCGTTATAGTATCGAAAGTGAATGGAGCAGTGATATCTTGGTCAGTGTGGAGAGTGAAGAGTCTTTTACTAAGGTCAATATCATTTGTAGTTTCCGTGTTTATGTTTCCTTTCACCGATAGACCGTTTTGGAAGACCTTCTTGCCTAAAATTAAGATTTAAAAATCAAACTTTTATATTTCAAAAATTTTAAAAAGGTAAATTATCTTTTAATTAAGACTCACCTGTCACCCGAACAGAACCGTCATCTTTGTACACTGCATCATTGTGCACCACTTGCAGGTCCTTCCCATTGACAAGTCCTCCAACAGCAACATCACCTTGTAGGTCCAGGTCACCCCAGGTAACAGATCCTGTCATGGCACCCCTCATGGCTCTGCATTCTCGTTGATTCTGCTTATATTCTGGCCATTAGCACCAACCTTGTTAGCAGTACTGACAGAGTCCTTCACAGTTAAGCTTGCAAAGCTCAGATCTGACGATATAATCGAGTCTGCATCATCGGTGACGATGTTGCTCTTCAACTGTGCAACATTATGCCCGCCAATGTTTACTGCATCAAGTGAGCCAAGGACAGATACCATTCCATTTACAGTTAGAACACCCGAGTGGGGGGTAGGATTCTTACGGCTCATGCGAGTGCTGTCCAGCACAGAAATATCGATATCATTCATTGTGAATCCATCTGACATGTCTATTTGGTTAGCATCTAGAGCACCAAAGGATGCGGCTGCCAATTTCTGTGGCACAGTGAAGACTTGGTCTCCAGATTTGGCAAGAATAGTGTTGAAGTCCACACCAGAGACTCGGCCCTGAACATCTAGTTCTCCAGCAGATACTGTACCAGTGAAAGTCTTCCTTCCTGTTACCACTTGTCCTGCCTTGTCCAGGTACAATGCAGAGTCAAAGAGTTGCTTCAAGTCTACTCTATCAACAAGCCCAGTTACATCTACTGTAGAGGAGAAGGTAACAGGCTTCTTGAAAGTCTTCACTCCAGCTATTGGTTTAGTCGAAAAACTATGTACAAGGTCATCAAAACTCTTGCCATTGAATGTACTATCAAATGTTGCATGGGATATACTCACAGGAAGGTTAAAGCTCTTTGTGCCTGAAATTGCTGCTGCACTGTCGGTGCTGTAGATTATATCTCTGCCGAGATCGACAATATTCAAGTTGTTCATATTACCTTTGTAGTCCACAGTTGGAAGATGGACATAGTTCTTGAAGTAAATGTCGAATCCTTTACCCATTGGGTTCTGAATAGCTGTAAGGTTTGCATAAAGGTCATCAAAGTTTACACCTGCAACCAAGCTGCTAGCAACGTTCAGACTGCCTTGAATATCAACACCTTCCGTGAGAGTTTTTCTTCCTACAATAACTTGAGGTCTATGAAGGGTAACCAGTTTATCAAACTGGATACCATCCACAGTAAGACTATTTTCAACTGTAAGATCAACACAAGTCAAATGATTGAAGGATTTGGTGCCCAGGTTCAAGGTTTTATCAGTTTTAAGAGGGAAATCGGATGGGAAATCTTTGCCATTTACCATGTCTCTCACATACAAGCCTTTGGCTGTAAGGGTTGGAACCCTTATCTTGCCTGTCAATTTAACATCTTGATCCTTGAATACAGTTGTGGACAAGAAAATAGGTGAACTAACACCAGATAGCAGGCTAGCCGTTAGAGACTTTGCAGTCACATCGTTTGTGAACTCAAGTGGTCCCTTCAATTTTCCACCTGCTTTTGTTAGTGCATTTCTGTATAGCTGCTCAATGATTACACCATCCACATCAGTAGAATCTACTTGTAGGTTATCAAGAACTGTTAAGTTCTTGTTGAAGACAGTAGAACCTGAAATATTCAGTACATTTAATAACTTGCAATTAAGTTTTGGAATAACTTAAAGGACCAAGTAAATGGTTCACAAAATGATACTTACCTAATTTTCCTGGGCCATTCAAGGTAATGGCATTTGTCAAGTCAACCCCACCAACAGTGCCATCTTTTGGTAGATGAACATTTTTAGCTTGTAGGGTGCTGGCAAAGTTTACATTTCCAGTTACTGCATAACTTCCTGTTGTAGTTGCAACATCACTTACAGGAATATCATCAAGTGCACTCGTTTCAAGGTTTGTAACATCAAGGCTTGTCGTGAAGGTCTTCTTACCAGTTATTTTGCGTAGATCAGCAAACCTAATAATAGATTCAAATTAGAGACTGTACAATTAAACTTTGCCAGAACTAAAAGACTAATACTTACTTGACTAGTCCTTCGAGTCTTGAAGTTAGAGGGAAGGCATTACCATTGTCATCCAATACCTTTTGGAAAACTGCACTGTCAACATTCATATCTTGCACTGTTAATCCATCCACAATTACCTTTCTTCCATCTATCTTCTTGGTAGTGGTCAGACTAACAGCATCTAGAGATATACATTGTTAGATCCTTAAAATACCTGCCTGGCCAAAAAATTCTTCTAATTAAAAATAGCTTGTACCTTGTAATTCCAGTTCAATTGATGTCAAGGTATTATCAATACTCTGTAGCCATGCAGAGCTATTTGCAATATTTTCAAGGTGAGCTTTGTATCCATCATAACTTATTCCAGTAAGATCGGTGTTGGGGAAAACAAGGTTGTTTGCACTGAAGTCGGTAACTGTTAGGGTCTAATAAAAAAAGATTAGTATGTATATCAATAACAAGTTTAAGCTAGAAACTAGAGGATAGTGTGGAAAGTTAGACCAACCTTATCAAGGTTTATGCCACCCAAAATGGTAACATCTCCAGTTATGTCAACTGTTGCTGTAGTAGTGTCTACAGAATGATTTAATCTGTCTTCTATATCAAGCATTACTTCCCTCTGGCTTCTATATTCGTTCTGCAACAAAAAAATATCAACTTCAGTGGCCGATGCAGAAGCAATGATCTAGAATATGGTGAACAGTGCCCTTGTCGAGTAGAAATTTTTAATTTAAGCTAATTTATGAGCTTACAAGACTAGGAAAAAGTTACCTCCAAGTACTGCTTTCTGTTCTTTAAGGCAACACTTTCATCCCACACAGGATCTTCGATATGTTGCATCTCTGCAAGAACATTAATGCCAACTACACCCGTCGTCGATTGTAGAATTAACTGGAATGCAAGTAATAGTTATATTTGGGGATTCCATACATTTTAAGAGCTCGACAAAATCTAACTTTAAATAAGTATACTTACTTTGGGAACAGCTGTACTAATCGACCTTACATCACCAAAGCCTTTGGTCCAGTCAGTTATATCAACTGCCAGAGAAGTGTCATTTGCCTGGAAATGAAAATTGGGACCTCAAAAAAAGATTTTCCGCCCCCCCCCCCCCTGCCCCCCCCCATACATGGGCTTTAACTTACCAGGGTATAAAGTCCTGTTGTTCCATCCCAAACAAAGATTTGCAAACTCGTTCCTGATCCGGTAACTAACATCACCTCATCTTTACAGGATGGAAGCTAGGAAGAGATTTAAAAGGTTATGTTTTATTAAAGTAATTCTATTACATAAACCACAAGAATTTTTACTTACAGTTACAGGCACCATTTCTTTGAAACTTGCAATACTACCAGTAGGCAGCAAGTTCTGGAGAATTTGGTACTCTCCCCTACTCTCCATATAAACGCGGGCAAAGGTAGGGGTCGTGGCTATTAGGAAGTTTTCAAAGCCTGTTGCATAACTCCTCCAGGAGGTCACTCCTGCTGGGAGGCTCAACACCTGTTGCAGCGATATTTGCTGTCTACCCCAACGGTCACTCTGCAGAAGAGCACTTCGTAAGTACCAAATTGTGGCTTAAAAATAAAATTAATCATTTAAAAAACTTACTTACCGTTAGTTCATGAATATTGAGGTTAGTACCGTCTTGTACTCCAATGATCACTCTTCCACCATTTTGCCAAACTTTCATTGATGTTCCAGTTGTATCCCACATCATTGAAAGTCTGAAGATTTTATAAAGATATAATTATGGTTTACCTTAATTTCTACATACCATTTGCCAAGTTCAACTTACCCAGTTTCTATGGAAAAGTCCTGTGGATTTGTTACTATTTCGTAATAACGCTTACTGCTACTATCAAGGCCGAAAGTGAACAAGTATCTTTTTCTTGTAACTGTACCGAATTGTTCTACAAACATTTCTCCATATCCTAGGTGAGTTACAGGACTATCTAGATTTATAGTGTTGTGACCTTTCAAGGAATGGAAGTCTTGCAGACCCCACTTGTCCTGGAAGGAGAGGAAATTTGTAAAGGTATTAGACAAGAGGGCTTAAGAGCCGATTGAATTTATAGCATTAAAACCCTTGTTGGATAAGGCACGCACCATCTAAGTCCCACCCGTTTAGAACCAGTCCAGGTTCTGTAACCAAACCAAGTACAGGCCATACTCACGAGTCTATAGAAGTGAATATTTTCTCCTTTTGCAATTACGACAACTTGCTGCACACCCTCAGAGTAGGTGTGGTATTCAAATGCGATAGCATTATCTAGCTCTAGAGATCTTGGACCTAGAAATATTTTAATTTTTAGCTTATGCCAAGTATTATTCAAATAAGAACTACCTTAATCGAATCTACTTACTTTGGGAAGAACATGTATGAGAGTTTATCTGAGAATCTTCAACGCACGTGTTGCTTACACCACTAGCCGATACTTGGCAGAGGACACTACCAAGAGCGCAGCAGGCACATCTCTTAAAGAGACGTAGATAATGATTTCATGCGTTGAAGGATTCGAGTATATTTTTTTTTATATTCTTTATAGTCAATTTAACTTACCGTGTCCGAAGCCTGGCCAGGACAGGAACACCCAGTAGGCGACTTGGTCCACTGGTTCCGGACCGTTAGCAAGTGCATCGTGTCATCTTGGAGAATGTAGCCATTACCCGAGTCGAGCTGGAAATGCAATTGCATTCTTGTTAATATGGGTTACAAGTTACACGCAAGGAATATTGCACTTGCAGTAATCATAACAAACCTTGTAGATTGCGTGAATGTTATCAAGGGCCACGGGAAAGATGTCCACCACAGTATGTACATTTGTGAAGTTTATGGTAACAAGATCCGTCACCGACGCAACTGGAGGCAAGAGTTTATTAATACATTTTTTTTCCAGCTTCGGAATTTTGACACATTTTACCAGATTATAAAAACAAACATTACATACTTTCCCTCGATGGACGAGTGTCGTAGACGTAGGAGTGCCAGTCGTCCTGGCCTATGGTGGGGCGTGGGGGCAGACTGATCGCACGACGATGCCGGTGAAGATGGTCTAGAGTCTCTTCATGTTCCCGTAATTGCTGTTCGTAGGTCTTCAGGAGGTCTACTTGAAGCGTCACCAGTTTTTCGGATAGTAGTTGGTCAAGCTAAAACAATATTGATTTTTATTAGACGACCCAATAAATGCGTTTAATATTAGTAGAGTTACAAAGCTACTACATTTGATTATGCAATTCATGTTTACGATTGATACGGGACCACTTTATTAGGTCCCCGGGTACTTTGTAGCCAACAGGACATTTGCAATTACTCCCCCTTCCCTAATTAAGATTTTTCCAGCTAAAAAACACCCACTATACAGCACATTGAAAACCAACTATGCATTTTAGTATAGGAGTTTTATATACATGGAACCACA